GTCGCATTGATCGATTCCTGGTTTGTGGCAAAGACTACAAAGCCATACGGAATGCTGTGGGGGAAGCATTGATAAAATGCGAGACAGAAGCCATGGCAGCAGCCCTGAAGGTAACTTCTTTCTTTCTTTCTGAGCAGCTTAGCTCTTCTTGGTTGGCAGGAAGGGGGGCCTTCTCTGATTTGGTAATAAGCACAAAGTATAACTAGAGGATTTCTCAGATGCTCCAGTCATTTCTGTTTCTATTTATTAGCCATGCTGGACAAAAAAAAGAGAGATTTTTGTTGATACTGTTTTTAAAGAGCCAAATGGCATTCTGGTATTTGTTCTCCAGTGTTAGATACCCAGTTTGAAAATTTGGAAGAAAGTTTTACTGTAATTGTTTACAAATGAAAACTATTCTTCCTTCAGAAATAGCTCATAGCCTGTTTGAACCAGTGAACCCCTTTGGGATTTAATTCTCATGGCAGCCATAGGGAAATTTACTCAATTTACTTAATTTACTTAATTGATTGGTGTGGAAGACAGATCGGCTTACAAAGAGAAACTCAAAAAGATAAAAAATAACTTAGTCCAAATTACTTGCACTAGTTGGTAGAATAAATTTGACTGCCGGATTGGAATAGAGATTCTTATGCAAATTTGTGCCATTCCCTTGCCTGGTTTTCCCTTTACAGTTGGTGAGAAAACTTTCACAAAACACCTTGGTCTAGCTGCTTATAGGTTAGTCTAGGAAGATTTAAACTACTATGATTCAATAGCTCTTTGGAATTTGGAGTGTAAGGCTGTGTTTTATTAATTCTGGTTTTATTCTGTGCTCTTAATCATTCTGTTACCAGCCAAAGATGGAAACTGTACTCCTGGTTATCTTGTCTCTTTTTAATAGTTTCGGCTATTTGTATCTTTCCCTTTAGGCATATAAGGACTCCAGCTCTGCACCGGCAGTTCATTTTCTTTTGACTATCTTCAGAGAGCTCACATCACTGTATAGATGCAGAGACCCAAATGCTCACCCTAAGCAGAAGGTGAATTCGTTTTCATTGTGATCTGCAAATAAGGGCTATTTTAAATGGAAAGGTCCTGCTAATCATAGAAATGACTGGGCTGAACTAAATATAGGACGGTTGTGCGCAAAACCAAGTGTTCTGTATTTTCTCCTCAGGAAACTCACAGCAACAGTTTTGAGCTCAGATCATTTCATGATCAAACATTTTGCACATCCCGAATGGGTTGTGGTTTCTTTCAGGTGTTTCCATTTGGAAAATTTGTGACAAGGCTGTACCTGTAAACCAGACCTGGGCATTTTAAGGCCCACATCTGGCCCGTGGGCAGTCCCAGTCCAGCCCGTGGTGGCATCGATGGCAGGGGGCTGGGTGGCAGGGGGCAGGGCAGTGGTGGCCTTCCACAACAGTCTCAGTTTCTCATGTGGCTCCTTGGGAAAATTAATTGCCCGCCCCTGCTCTAAACTAGATAGGATTTCCATATGCCTGTTTTCTGTATTGCTACTTGTGTTTTATGTTAGTGGATTCATACCTGTCCTGAGGTCTCTTAGTATTACTATATTGTAATTTTCCTAGAATCACTAAAGCAGGCAGCAAGCAACTGCTGGTAACAAAGTGCAATAATATTAAATGAATGAGTGTGTAAATAAGTAAATAATTAATCATTGTTATGTCACAGATTAAGTCTTTTGAACCTATGAGACAATCTTATTTACCTTTGTTTCCTCCTTTATTCAGCAATGTGATATACTTAAAGAATTCATCCAGAACTCCAGGGTTTTTCCATCTGCAAAACTGAAGGCATTTGCTGAATCTCTTGTGTCTAATCAGCTCCCCTTGCTGACCCTGCCCCCTCTGTCTTTCGGCCACAACACGATGGTGATTGAAATGGCAGTTCACACTGCAGTTGTTTTGTTTTGTGGCCAGAATCGAATCCTTCAACCTCTAAGGAATCTGGCATTCTCACCTAATATCATGCTGGTAAGGAAGTTCATGCTGGACTTCTGTTAGTTTTTTAATTTAAAGTCTTTTTTTAAAAGCATCCTGCCTCTTTGTTAACTTGAATATTCAGTAAGATTAACAGCTACTATAATATGTAATGCAGATTTTTAAAAAATACAGAAATGAACAATGCTCAAATTAATGAGCAAGAAATCTAGAAAGCAGTTCTAGAGGCAGAGAGGGTGAGTATCAAACCCTCCATAACTTGGGAATGTTCTGTGGCAAGAGCCTCTCTACATATTTTAACAACTGGACGGATCCATCATGGGAGAGGCTGTCCTTCAGAGAACCACACCGTAGGCCATTTAAAGCCGTGTTTCTTAATCTCGGTGACTTTAAGATGGGTGGACTTCAACTGGCTGGAGAATTCTGGGAGTTGAAATCCACCCATCTTAAAGTCACCAAGGTTGAGAAACATTGATCATTAAATATAGCATTAAATATAAACACCAACCGCTTAAATTATGTTCAGGAAACATTTGGTATAGGTACAATGGAAGTGCAGGATCTTTTACTGGTTAATAAATTGTATAACATGCCAGTTAAATCTTCAGAGGTAATGCTGGGCAATAACAGTAGTACTTAGACTTATATACCACTTCATAGTGCTTTACAGCCCTCTCTAGGTGGTTTACAGAGTCAGCCTATTGCCCCCAACAATCTGGGTCCTTGTTTTACTGACCTCGGAAGGATGGAAAGCTGAGTCAACCTTGAGCTAATCTGGATCAAACCTCTGGCAGTGAACAGAATTAGCCTGCAATACTACATCCTAACCACTGCACCATGATGGCTCAAACAAACTAGTTTATTTCCTAGCTTCCCCTTCTGTTTATTTATACCTTTATAATTTTGAGATAATTCTCAGTTTTTACTTTTTAATTATATGAGAAAATGAGTTTGGAGCAGTTAAATCAGTCAGAAATAATCACTGTGTATTATTTAATATCATGATTCAAATTTTCATCTGTTCTTTTACCAGAATGCTTTTCTGCCAACCATGCCAGAAGACATGTTGACTCAAGCTGTGCAGTGGAAGTTAAAGGAAGTAGTTCATTGGTATAGTGAGTATCAACCTTTGGAGTATATGATGGGAAAGTCATAACAGACATATCCAGACTATAGATCTGAATAAACTTGGCTACAACCAGAACATATTTTCATACGTCATAGGGATATAAGTAATGTCCATTTTGGTGATGGTCCTCAAATGATTAGCCTTGTGACCTACATGACGATATTTAAGAAAATGTTGTTGGACTATAAGAATATAGGTCTGGGGTAAAGGTGGCAGGGGTGGGCGTGGAGGGGTGGAAGAGAGAACTATTGACAAAATCATAGCCATGAAGACAATGGCTAGTCATAAAAGACCATTTCATAGAAGGGCAAGCTAAAGCATGTAAAATGGAAATTAAACCTGAATGTAAGATAAAGATGTCATTGAGCTCCAAAACACAAACCTGCTCTATTGAAACCAACTGTTCTCTTTTCACACTCAATCCTTATCTCCATCACAAATGTCTCTATGTAGGATTGCCCTCTCCCTTACACCCTTTTTATGCAGCCTTTTCCTTTCTTCTGCACCAACAGGCATTACCAAGTCTAGCTGTGGTTTCTAGCTTCTTTATGAACCAAGGAGAAATTTATGCACAATGACAAGAGGTTAAGAGCATGGCATTTTGTAGAGGAAATGAAGGTGTAAATTCAATGGTGCCCATATTGTTCTATCTGCCAATTTAAGCCATTTGCCGTGAGATCAGGGGTGTCACTTTGTGATAGTTTAAAGAAGCTCACAGACTATGATTTACAGAAATGGGAAATATTTGTAAAGAAGTTTACAAATAATCCTGCCCTAGTGGTTACATGCAACAAGAAAGTAAAAGCATCACTATTTTCTGATCATACATATCAATGCCATTAACAGATACAGTGATGATCTGCAAAATTGCGCAATCCATCTCTGAAAGCAGCCAGCAAAATTTATTTTTAAAAGGAGTTTTCATCAGGCAATACAGTAGAATTGGATGTTAAAGTGTTGTTTGGCTCAGATGCAGTTTTAGTTGGAGAAAAGTAGAAAAAATTTTTTGGAAAGATAATACTTTTAGTCTTGCTGCTATATTGATGTACAAAACCTTTTCAGTTGCATTTGGTTTCTACAGCACAGGTGTATACATTTTCCCCTGAATAGTTGTCCCATCATTTTCTAAGAAATAAATGCTAATACAGCTTTCATATTTACTTCTGTTTCATATGATATTGCTGTTCTTGAAGATTCAAAAATCAAACTCTTCAATGTTAAGTTCTATAATGCCTGTCTCACCTAAGAGACTGTGGTTCATAATAAAACAATAAACACACACGAATAAAAGCATAGATGAAAAAGACTCAAGTACAAAGATAAAAGGTACAAGTTAAAAGTAAAAACCAAAATTAAAAAAATAATAATCTTGAGGATTTCACAGGCAATCTTTCTGGTATTTAGTTAAGGAAAGTATGACATGTTATTTCCACGTTGAATGTCTTTTTTCCCCCTTTGTTTTATCTATTTTTTACAATGTCATTAGCTTTTTGAAGTTAGATTATAATGATGAATCCTGAGAATAATTTAGAATTCTTGGCAGCATTGTACTGATTTACTTTTTGCTTTTCTTTATTCAACTAGTATGTCCAAATGGTCACCCCTGTGTTATTGGAGAGGTAAGAAATGGAAAGAGGGAGGGAGGGATACATATATGTATATATTTCCTCAATATTATATATTTCTTAAGGCAACATTTTCTCAGCCAATTAAGTCAATATTATTACCTTGATTAATAATTTATAAGTGATATTCTAAGCACATGGTAATTGGACTAAAATGAAACAGTGAAGAACTATTTTTGTTCTCTTTTTTAATATTTGCTTTTTTTTCAGTGTGGTCAGCCTATGCATCGTAGTCGTTGTGTTGATTGTGGTATTCAAATTGGAGGTGAAAACCACATGCCAGTGCCAAACTTCCAAAGAGCAAGGTTTGAATTTCAATTTCTTGGAATTCTGAGAGAAAATTTTATTTATAAATGTCGATGAAAAAAATGAGGCATTTACTGATCTTTTGGGTATACAAATAGTTTCCCTGCCTGGCAAATTAGTTTGAATATCAACTGTGGACTCCTAATGTCAGTTTTCATTCTGAGTAGCTCTAGCTAATTTTGATCTTACTATGCCCACTCTCCTAGTCTCTTTGGTCTGAGGTCAGTTCATCAGTATTTATAATGTGATGAACCTAGCATGCAAAGGGATAGATATAAATGTAACCTTGTGTTCTTGGTGCTCTCTGAGCTTGGTTGTTGTCTTGCAGATGTTTCAGTACTCAAACTAGGTAACATCTGCAAGAAACATCTACAAGAAACATCTGCAAGACAACAACCAAGCTCAGAGAGCACCAAGGACCCCTCATTTTAACCCTGATCTACAAATATGGAAGAGTTTTGAGTTCAAAAAGGAGAGTGTTTCTATTGCTAGGCAAAGTGCACAAGGAAGTCAGTGGTTGTCAGACAAGCTAAAATTTCTGAGATTTCATAGAAAAGGTTTTCATATACTAAGAGCCAATTACAACAGTTTCAAGTATGAGTCTATAACTGTTAGTTGTCATCAAGAGATCTTCCAGATGGTGGAAGATTCTCACACATAGGCTGAGAGAGAACCCTTTTAGAATCTTAGAGAATCTAAGCTCCAAAGCTTGGAGATTTGATGGGATTCCCACCCTTTGTTATTTGTTTATGATTACACAGTCATAACACATTCGTTCTCTGAGAGCTTTGTCAGTCCTTTTGAAATTATTTACTGTATTTTGTGTCCTGCGTTAGATTCTTGTAAAAGAACCACAACAAGCTTGTCGCAATTGCTCCACCTATTTGTGAGCCCCATTTGTGAGCAGTAATTAAGAATTGCAGACCCTAAGGCAGCTGTAGCCTTTTCACCTACATTCCTCTTCTGGGCCAAGAATTTCTCTGGGGAGAAGTGTAGAAGAGAGTTCGTAGAGGTCGAGGTCCCAAAACGGTGTAACGACGGTCGTGAACCTTTAGTGATCTTTTTAATTTGGAAAAACTTTCCAGACCGGGTAAAAAGGGTAAGTCTCGTTTTTAGTCCACCGTCAAGACCGTTACATGTTCTTCTTCTTGAACTCTCCTCACTAGTTTCTTTCTCAAGAGGAACATGTTGCCTTGTGTACCCCCAAAATTGGATACTTTCAATCCAGGTAGAGTTTCATTCCCTATTGATGCTTCACCTGATACTCTATCCTGCTTCTGTTCTTGGGGAAACCTCACCATCTTGTAAGTCCAGTCAGCATTCTTGTGGAGAGCTATTGCATAAGATATAGGAAAAGTTACTTTTATTTTCTGAATTCTTCATCGTTTGAAATCCAATAGTCCCTTATTTGGATAGTTTTGAGTGTTCTCTTTAAGGCTTTTCCCATTGTTATAAAAATGATGAAGGGCATGCAGGACTGAGTTGTGGTCTCATACCATTTGTATGAATACGTACTAAATCTGATCCCTCTGGATGCTATCAGAATTATTTCTTCTGTAGTAGGTATCCATTCTCCTAACAAAATCTATTTATTCTACTTGAGTACTTACTGCATTATTGTTCTCCATCTTATTTTCTTCTTCTGTAACACCCTTTACCTTTCAATTTTTTCCCTTATGGAAAAATGGTTACCCTGTGTTTTGTTGGCTTGCTTTTACTTCTCCAATTCCAAAGTCTATGGAAAACTTCATTGAGAGAATTCATACTTTCTCTTTTCTGGAAATCAGCCATTGCTAACTGAAGAACTGTGATTCATTTAACAACTGTGGCAAGAAAAATCGTAAAATGGGGCAAAACTCACTTAACAACTGTCTCGCTTAGCAACAGAAATTTTGGGCTCAATTGTGCTCATTAAGACGAGGATTATCTCTATTACATTTCTAGTTGTTTGAGGAGCTGGCATTACTCTTTAAAGCCCTAAGAGATTGACAGACAGACAATCTAAGGCAGAGCGAGTACCAGCTGAGGAACTGGGGGTGCTTTTCAGCCTTCTGGCTTTCCAGGAGTAGCAGCAGGTTCTGTACTGATATGGTGATGACAATGGAAAGGGCAGAAATGAATTCTTTTTTGCTCTGCTTTTGGTTCCCCCCCCCCAGGGTTTTAAAGATAAGAATGGGAGTAGGATCACTCCTATTTTCCCCAGAGAAATGGGATCATTTGGTGGCCAAATTCATCAGGGTGTATTAGGGAGGTGTAAAAGGGAGCACGGCTTCACAGGTTGCTCATGCCTGCTACAACCAGTCTCCATTGGCATCCGTTGTCAAGAGGATCATCTTTCTGGCAGGCAAAGGAGAACCTTCTCTTGCGTTCTTCCCAGACTCTAAATTGCCTTCTGTCCAAAGCTGAATTTGCTTTTCATTCCCTTGGCATTAAGGCAATCAGAACATTGTTGAAAGAAAAATCTTCAGGGTCCAGTCTAAGCTGGGAATAAACAAAATGGAGACTGCTTTAGAAAGAAGGTTGTAGTTTATTGAAGAGCGGAGCCAGACAGAAATGAGGCTCTGGGAAAGTTGACCACATGTAGCTGGGAGTGGTGGGCTTTTATACCTTCTTGGGCCTTTGTGTTTGAAGTTCTTCCTGTTTGAGGCTGTTCCTGTGTCATGAACTTTGACCTGAGGTTCAGTGTGCCCTTTCGGTATTCTGATAGAGGTGGGTTAATCCTATTATGTCCTAAAGGTCACATCCTGCTTCTCTGGGGCTGTGGCTGATGGCTTTGTGTTGGATTTTTTGGTGAGGGGTTGCTGATTCTTATCCTATCACTCTGTTGTTGTTAGCTATCAAATCATATTCCAGGGGATTTTCAAAGATACTGTCTTGAATGGGCTATCTGCAGGTAGTATTTGCTCATGAATGGGCCTCAGTCTTTCTGAATGGGATTATCAAATCTGCATTTCTACAGACCTGGCCTCTGAGTTTCTGGCTGGGGCTATTAAAGAAAAACTGGACCTGCTTTTCTGCCTTTAAGATCCTTTGGGGAAATATAATATTCTGCCTTTTTAATATCCCACAAACTATTTCCTTCTCTTGGAGGGGGGGGTGCTGTCCTGCTACAACATGCATATCTCTGTTGTTAATGAATTTAACATTAATCTAGCTGCCTCACTTCTTGAACAGAAATGTGGAATACAAAGCCAATGAACTGCTATAAAATGTAAATAATTCTGGGATTTTGTCATTCTTTTGTGAATTTTTGCAGGATTTTAGCTTTTTCTAGTTTACTAAATGTTCTAATTGTTAATGTAATTTTGGGTGCTCTGTATGTTGCTTGAGAAGCAATAGTCAAAGTATTTCTTATATCCTCCAAAATGCCTTCTTTATGTGAAATGGGAAGCAACACTAAGGCACTTAATTATTTTTTTTTCTGTTTTATTGTGGAAGCAACCATTCCATAGCACTTACAGTTTTTGAGTGAGATTATTGTAGTGAATTAGCAAGACTTCAGGACTGTAGATTTCTGCAGAGACAGTTGTGCTCAGTCCAATCTGAGATAAAAGATGGGGATATTTTTTTTCCTGTAAGTTTATTTGCTTACATCAAATTTTTCAGATTATTTTCTGTCTCTGTGCTTAGCCATGGGATGTAACGGGAAATATTACTACCATCACCATCTTCTTGCTTTCCTCTCATATAGGAGAAAATGGTTCTTTTGTATACACAAAGCAAGGCAAAGTACCAAACGTTCCATTTTAAGTTTTGTTAATCATTTGAATCCTGTTGCCTAACTCCCAAGTTTGTTGCTTTCATCACATTTTTCGGGTACAAGAAAAAATAGTTTTGAGGATCTCTACTAAATTCTATTTTTGCATCTACATTATTTGGCTGCAGGCTTTCCAATAAAATTTACAGCAGCCAACTACTTGTGCATTTCTTCTGTGTATCTCAAACACCTCATTTAGATGCTTCTGAATGATTGATACTTCAGGATGTCTGCACAGACTGGTCAACCATCTTTCTGCCTTTTTCTGCTCTACTAATCAGGCCAACCTGGGATAACGCAGCAATCACTGCTTTCAGATGGTATTTGATACTACCAACCCTTTTTCTTTCCATGACTCAGGAATATAAGAACAAAACCAAAAGGGGAGGGTTAATCTTTTCTTTTCCTGCCAATTGAAAAACCCCAGGTCAGCATAAAGCCATATTCTAGTAATACGTTTGGGGAAGCTTAGGCATTCTGAGGCAAGCTCCCCTACAATTGGCATCAAAGCTATCTGTTTAAACAGTTCTGAAAGTTTTAAAATTACAACAACAAAGAATACCATAAAGGGCTGTTAAGGTAGAAAAAATGAGACTTAAGAATAGGTAGGTGCATCCAAGGTATTAAGTTTCTGGGAGAGAATCATCTTTGATAGAAACTAGGGTTAAGCACACACTAAAGAAAATTAAACCCTAAAGAAAATCAAATTCTCTCTAGTATTCACTGCAGCTAGAAATTTCTGTGAGCCCAATTTCTTCCTGAGTCCTGGAAGAAATTACAGTGTGTTCCAAGGGGGAGTCAAAAGAAAAAAAAGTCTCCATTAAACTCCTGATTTGCTATCTAACATCAAGAGTGGCTAATCATTTTTTTTTCCTAGAAATGTGAAGGTTTAGTTTACCACTCATTGTGGATGCTTTTCTTTCTAACTGGAATATTTAAAATTCACACTGTTAGAGGTACCTGTCACATCTCATTTTGAATTCAACACTATTAGCATGCAGATCAGAAGATAATCTGGACGAATAATGAGGTTTTTTTTGTTTCCCCTTTCTCCTGAAATTTCTCTGTATCAGTCCATTCTATTCCCTCGTGACCCATCCCATCCCTGAACAAAACGAACAGAATATTTGTTTAAGATGCTTGCTAGGATTACTTCAGCAATCATATAATGTATTTAATTTGGTTTGCAACAGTTCCTTAGAGAAAGTAAATACTGCTAGAATGGAACGGAACGGAATGGAATAATAACTTTATTGTCACTTTGAATGTACACTAATCGGCATACATTAAAATGAAATTTCGTTGTATACAGCTCTCAAAGGGTCACTACCTCCAATATACACTACATAAATATGACAAAAATAAATAAATACAGAATTATGCATATACCCACATACATTATATGACACAGAGAAACAACAGTCTTTCTGTGTATTACATAATATAAAGATATTCCTCACTTAGAACCACAATTGGGCCCAAAGTTCTTGTTGTTAAGCAAGACAGTTAAGTGAGTTTTGCCCCATTTTACAACTTTTCTTGTTTCAGTTGTTAAGTGATTCATTAGAGTTATTAAGCTAGTAACAAAGTTGTTCAGTGAATTTGGCATCCCATTATAAATATAAACCAGTTGCCAAGCGTCCTAATTTTGATAATGTAACCAGTGGTGGGATTCAAATAACTGAACATCTGGTTCTCTGCGTGGATGCCGGCCTGGGCCTCCAAGGCCTGGAATGGAGTTCCGGAAGTGACATCCATGCACTTCCTGTGGGCTGTTCTAGGCCTGGGAGGCCTGCAGGCCTCCAAGGTCTAGAACAGACTTCCGGAAGTGACATCAATGAACTTCCGGTGGGCTGTTCTAGGCCTGGGAGGCCTCCACCTGGCCTAGAACAGACATCCAGAAGTGACATCTACGCGCTTCCGGTGGGCCCTTCTAGACCTGGGAGACCTCCAGGCCTCTGAGGCCTAGAACAGACTTCCAGAAGCAGCATGGGTTCAGCCGGTTCTCCGAAATCAACAAAATTTAGCTACCGGTTCTACCTGTGCGAACTGGCTGAATCCCACCACTGAATGTAACCCTGGGGATGCTGCAATGGTCGTAAGTGTGAAAAATGGTCATAAGTTACTTTTTTCAGTGCTGTTGTAACTTCAAACAATCACTAAATGAATGGTGGTAAGTTGAGGATTACTTATATCTACCCAATTTTGGATGATAAATACTTCTTTATAATTCTTATTATCTGGAAATCATTGCAGAATAATAGGAAAATGTGCAAATTTCCCTGTGTGATATTTTTGCAGCAATATTCGGGACAGAACTCAAACGGGCCACATACTTGGAGATCCTAGGAAAAGGGATCCAGTGATCACACCAGAGAGGGAGTTGTCTCCAGCTGCACTAATTCTGATTCGCTTGCTCACTCATTTGGCATTGCTTCTGGGAGCCTCAAATGATGTCCAGGTATTTGTTTTGCACAGAAATTGCAACTTACCTGTTTTTTTCTGAAATGCAGTATACACAAACAGACAATGACTTATTTAAAATGGAATTACTTTAAAAAAAATCAGGTTTTCTCAGTATTATGAAAAGAAATAATTATAGATGCTAAGAATACAAGGTTATAATAGTAGCCATGTTATAGTAATATAGTACTAATTATAAAATAACAATTTCATTAAAGCAGCATAACTACAATTCTGTGTTTAATGATCATGGAGCATAAGACGCCCTGGGTCCTGCCACTGTTGCATGCATGCTTCAAAGTTGCCAGGAAGCAAAGTGGAAACCATGATCTTCTAGAGCAGAGTTTTTCAAACTTGGCAACTTTAAGATGTGTACACCCATCCAGCATGCTTAAAGTTTCCAAGTTTGAAAATCACTACTCTGGATGAAGTCTTATATTTCCTTTCCCTCAGATACTTGGCTTCACTTCTTTCACACCCATCCTGCTTTCAAAAGTGGCCTGCATAAGTCCACCTTACACTAGAATTAGCTGCAAATGTGATTTGCTTAATGAAATCTGTAGTTGGCTATTCTCTGTAGTTAGGGGTTGTAGTTAGCTATTCTCTGACTTGCATTCTTGGCAAAAAGTATGCAACCTGAAATGTCTGGGGTCTTTTTGTTTTTGATGTGAGTGCTCATTGCCCATAGAGAAATATTATTGATATTTTTAATAACACATTGAAAATAATTTGCATTTCAGAACTCAGTGAAAAATGTAATCATGTAGCATGTTCAAAATTATGTTTTTCACTCAATTCTAAAATACAGATTCCTTTAGTTTCAATGTATTACTAAAAATATCAATAATGCTTCTTTGGGCAATGAGCACTAGCATCAAAAACAAAAACACCCCAGGCATCTCAGGTTGCACACTCTTTGTGAAGAATGCAAGTCAGAGAACCAAGATGTTGGACTGGCACTTGGAAAACTCAAACTTAAATCTATCTTCAGCCATAGAATTTGCTGGATGATTATCATTCCAACTTACTTTTCAGGGTTGTTACTACAGGAAAAATGGAGGAAGGGAGCCCTGTTTTATGCCGGTTTGAGCTGTTTGTGGAAAGATAGAATAGAAATCTTAACAAATCAATAGATTGACAGAGTAGTGCTTGATTGTGGTAGCAGAAAATTAAAGTCAAGAGAATTGTGGGCTCCCCTTATATAATAGTGTTGTATTCATTTATTTGTAAGTTAAAGGGATATATTTAAAATATTTGCTTAAGTACCTACCTTTGTCATTAAATGTTCATTCACAAGTCATGTAGAGA